ACACAAAACCTATACCTAAGCCAGGAAGTTGTGCAAACACAGGAAGGGTTTAAAATTAAGAAGGGAGTGTGTCAGGGTTGTATTCTCTCTCCATACTTATTCAATCTGTAGTTGAATTGCATTAGGAAAGTCTGCTATCAGGGACCTCTCTAGAGTACTGAAATGCAACGATGTAAGTCTGGAGACTATGGTGCACCTGATCCAAGTCATGGTCTTTGTAATTACTTGCCATGCATGAGAGAGCTGGATAATGACTAAGGAAGACAGAAGAATCAAAGCCTTTGAGTTATGCTGCTGGACAAAAGTATTGAATACACCATAGATTGCTAAGAGAACAAACACAGCTTTGTCCTGGAGGGGGTGAAACCAGGCTGTTCCTTGGAAGCAAGAATTCTGAAGCTCTGTCTAACATCTCGTGGGCATGTTTCAAGGAGTGACCAGACCTTGGAGAGAGACATGATGTTTGGGAAGGTGGAGGGACAGTGCAAGAGAAGACCCTTGATGAGATGGACCAATTCAGTGACTGGATTAATTGAAAGTATGTGTGTCAGAGACACTAAGATTGGCTCAGGATAGAGCAGGGCTCAGAGCTGTTGTACATAGGGTCACTATGCGTTGCAAGCAACTCAACAACATGCTGCACAAATTATTCAAGAAGCTGGACTCTATGAAGAGGAATGTGTCTTCAGGAGTGGAGGGAGGGAGATTCATTAACAACCTGCATTATGCAGGTGACAAAACTTTGCTTGCTGAAAGTGAAGAGGATTTGATGCACTTGTTGCAGAAGATCAAGGAGTACAGCCTTCAATATGGATTGCATCTCAATGTCAAGAAAATAAAGATTCTTAACACTAGACCTAAAGGCAACATCATGGTGGATGGAGGAAAAAACTAAAACTGTCAACAATCTCATCTTACGTGGATCCACAATTAACAACACCCTGGGTAAAAACAGAGTATCAGTAGACATCTTGCACTGGGAAAGTCTGCAGATAAAGACTTCTCCAAATTGTTGAGAAATATGATGTCAATTTGAGGACTTGGGTGCATCTGATTCAGGCCGTGGCCTTTCTGGTCACTTGCTATGCATGTGAGAGCTGGACAGTGACTAAAGGTGACAGAAGAACTGATGCCTTTGAGCTGTATGCTGGAGAAGAGCACTGAGCATCCCATGGATGGCAAAAAGAAAAACAAGTATGTCTTGGAGAGGGTGCAGCCAGAGTGCTCTTTGGAGGTAAGAATGAGGAAGCCTCACCTCACATACTTTGGGCATGTTACTAGGAGGCATTATTCCATGGAGAAGCATATGATACTGGGAAGGGTGAAGAGCTGGCGAAGGATAGGAAGACCCTCAACCAGGTGGACTGACACAGTGACTGCTGCAACAGACTCTTGTGCATCAGGAAGTGTGAGGATGATATAGGATAGAATAGGGTTCAGATCTTTTGTTCATAGGGTTACTATGACCTGTCTCAACTTGACGACACCTAACAACAACAACACTGCAAGTGTGAATTTTATATGTTTTAGACATAAAATTATTCCCATTTTCTCAAGTACACAAAGGAAAGCTTCTTTCATTAGCTTATCCCCTATATTTTTGTGTTTTTAAGACTTGCAGACCTTTGTAACAGCAAATGTTATTCACACTATGAATGCAAAAATCCTGCAACCCTTAGAGTTTTAAAACTAGAAGATATTTCTTTTTAGGTATTCAGTTTTCTATTTTATATATATCACAGACTTCTTGTTTCTATTAGTAGGGTTCAAAAAGTCTAACTAGGTCATTCTGCTAGCTACAATGTTTAAAAAAAAAACCCCAAAACACCAAAATATTTTTATAGTCTTTGAAAGCAGATTAATATACTTTAGATTCCAATTTCTTAGTAGAAAGTAAGCATATAAAATGATTAAAAGGAAAATTAGCATTTCAAAAATGTCTTGTTCCAAATAATTTAAGTCTGATATACCTTCTCTCATATGTAACTATATGAATTTTACCTAATCTTCTCTGTATCACACAGACTTGTGCTGCCCACATACCTACCTTTTAGCCACATGGGTACTTAAATAATTAAAGTTAAAAGTTCATTTCTTCTCATGCACAAGGCATATTTTCTTTTTTTTTTTTAAGGCATATTTTCAACACTCAATTGTTATACATGGGTGAACAGAATAGATACAGAATGTTGCTATTATTGCAAAAAAACTTCTATTAGCACAAACATAGACCAGGCATAATGTCATGAGGAAGGCATTTTCTCTATGGGAACTTGCTGGTGAACGCTTGGAAATGAAAAACTAATTCACACTCAGTCTTCAATAATATCTTTAATAACATAGCATAGTCTCTGTTTCCTATTATTTCTTAATTTGGTTACATTTTAAAATTTATGGGTGTAGCAGTTATCCAATTTCTAAACCATGGATAATACACAAAGAGTATTTACACTATAAGAGACATCAATAGTTTCCAAGTACTATGAGCCAAATTTGTACAACACTGGACATCTGAAATTTGGACAATGAATCAAAATGACTGAAGAAGAATCAGTGCTTTTGCACTGTGGTGTTGGCAAGGAGTACTGGATAAATCATAGTCTGCTAAAGAATAACCGTCTTGGAACAAGAGCAACTATGCTGCTCCTTAGAGGCAAAGATGGTGAAATTTTCTATTATTTTGGGCATGTATCAGGAGATGCCCGTCCTTGGAAAAAGATATCATGCAGGGAAAGATGGAGGGTCAGTGAAAAAGGTGACCTTCCAAGGGACAGACAGAATCAGTGACTGTAACAACGGATTCACACATGAGTTCAAGCAGGAGAACATGACGATGGAGCAGGATAGGGCAAGGTTCTCACCTGTTGTTTATAGGGTTGCTGTGAGTCACAGTCAACTCGATAGCACGTAACGACACTTAAACAACCATATACTATGAGACAACTCTGCAATATTCTCTAACAAGAATTCATTTTCACGATGACAGGCATATAGAACAACGGGACAGAATTGAGAACCCAGAAATGGACCCATATATCTATGGCCAATGGATACCTGACAAGGAAACAAATCCTATCAAATGGGAAATGATAACATCTTCAACAAACGGTGCTGACAAAATTGGACTGCTACTTGCAGAAAGCTGAAACAGGATCTACATCTCACACCATACACAAAAATCAACCAAGGTGGATCACAGACCTGGGAGTAAAGCCCAAATCCATAAAGTTCATCAAGACAAACTGGAACCAAGCTTAAAAAGCCTAGTCTATGACATAAAAAGGCTGACAAATACAATTAGAAATACACAACTAGGAGATAAAATTGATGAACGGAACCTTCTAAATATTAAGTCCCTATTGTGTATCAACTTTTTTCAATAGGATGAAAAGAAACTCCACCAACTTTGAAAAAACATTTGGCTATACCATCTCAGACAAGGATCTCATAACAAATGATCATAGAATAATACAGGGCCTCCACAAGAAGACTGATAACTCAATTACAAAAGGGTCAAAATCCATGGAAAGACTTTTCACAGAGGAAGACATTCAGATGGCCAAGAGACACATGGGGAAATGCTCCAAATCACTGGCAGTAAGAGAGATGCAAATCAAAAACCACAATGAGATACCATCTCACCCCAGTAGCAATAGCAAAGTCTAGAAGGACAGCAAGTAATGAAGGTTGGGGAGGAAGTGAAGAGATTGGAACTTTCCTACACTGTTGGTGGGATTGTAAAATGGTACAATCCTCTGAAAGGAAGTTTGACACTTCCTAAAAAAAGGTGAACACAAAAACTCCACATGGCCCAGCTATTCTACTATAGAATTATACTCCAAGGAAATTATAATTGAGACAAAAAGGAGAACTGTACACCCATGTTCACAGCAGGGTTCAAACCATCACAAGAACATGAAAACAGCCCAAATATCCAACTGCAACAGAACAGATTGGGAAATTGTGGTACATTGACACAATGGAGTACTATGGAGCACTCAGGAGCAACAATTTTGAAAAATACTACATAACTTGAGAGATACTGGAGAGTATTCTGCTGAATGAACGAACTTAGTCTCATAAGAACAAATACTGCATGATTGTTGTAAAAATAGGAGGATAACTAGGAAAGTGTGTAATGTAAGTCCCAGGTGGTAAGGGATGGGAGCAGAGTGGTGAGAATGGGTAGGGGAGATACCACAGGGTTGCACAATTTGGTGGGTAGAGGGAGAGGGTAAAGGAAATGGGAAAGATCTGGGGGAGAGCTGAAAAGATGGGGTAATAATGGGCATAGTCCAATAGTGATTAATTTTATAAAACACAATGTATGGGAATGACTGTATAAAACATAATGTCAATAAAGGAAAGTGTGGGGGGAAATCTGAATAAAAACATAAACTCATCAAAACAAACAGAATTTCACCTTCTTCAAATTTAATCCTTATATATGCTGAGGTATACCCATCACGTAAATATACAACACTCCTACTTCAATGGTGTGTGTACATTATGTACCTATACACAAAAATGAGGAAACTGAAGCTTGGTAAGACAGGGTAACTTGCAATCAAATAAGTAATAAATATCAGAGTTAAGATTCATATGTAGGTTTATGGATAAACAGAATAGAAACTCTTTATAAAACACATAATCCACAGTGTAGAAAAGTATCCCATCCACATAATCATGTAAACCATCCAGTCAACTTAGACTCGCAGTGACTGTATGAACAACAGATTGAAACCTTGTACAGAAGATCAAAATCACATAGATATGACGGATTTTTCTGAACCAAGGCCCATGAACATATATCGCCATTTGAATCCATCTAATCTCTCAGATACACAAGATATAAATGAACAAACAAAAACCAAGTTAATTTCCCAAGAGTTAATGAATACATATATTCAAAGAATCTGCTGCAAAACATTACTTATTTTCTACAGAACCACTATTTTTATAAAATTTTTTTTTTCAAACATAGTAAAAATTTTACTTGCCTTCTTTAGCAGCAAATGTTTGGCTGGCTGAAATGACTTTTTTTAGTTCTGGATTATACCTTGTTCCCTCTGGAAAAATTACAAGAAACATCTGTAGGCATAAAGAAAATTTGAGTTTGGGGTATGTGTATTTTGTTTTGTAGTTACTTTAAAAATGCTCACTATTAAGGCTAAAAGATAATCTCTTACAGTGGTAAAAATATATTAACTTAATATTACTTTTATAATAAGCACAAATAAAAGACAAAAGTTTAGTTAAGTCTTAGTATAGCATGGATTATACCTATTTTTTTAAGAAAAGTTCTATGGTCACAGAAAAGTCAGTCATTAAGAATTTAACAACTAAAAAAAAAAACAAAAAAAAAAGAATTTAACAACTTTTCTAATAACATGCTAATATTAAACAATTAAAAATTTTTTGTTAGTCTTAATTTAAACCATTTTTAATTATTAAAATTAAAAGTTTGTCCATGAAATAAATTACTTGTACAAAGTCTTAATGAATTCATTTTTTTCCCCTTCTAAGAACCTGGGAAATTTTTAAGAGGTACAAATTTCAGAAATAAAAATCTTTAAATAAGAATATTAGGCACTCACAATGACGGGTTGATGGGACACTGTAATTAACTAATTACATTAACCAATGTCAAAAAGAAATAAAAATAATCCTATTTGAGGAAAGCCACATTGTAGATATCTAGATTTCTATAATATCAAAGATAGTATTTTTATTTCAAGATTAATAGAGTACTCCTATTTTAGAGTCCTCTACATGTATTTCAGATGACAGCATATATGTTGTCATATTTCAGTATATACAATTCAAAATATATATATTCAATTTCATATTCAGTACATAATTGAAAGAACACAAACAAAAAGGAATATCAAGATAGTTATTTAATAGGTAGTGAAGTAATTAAGCAATTAAATTTATCTGTTTGAAAAAGTAAAAATAGAAATAGTAAAATCAGTGATCCAGACACACGGCGCAATGGATTTTCAAGAAAGTGTACCACATGCATTCAATGTGCAAAGAAATATCAATAGACCATGCTGGGCAAACTGGTTCTCCACTTGCAAAAAAACCCCCAAAACCTGATAACTGGAGCAGCTGGTGAATTCAAATCATAAGAGATGTGCAACTTTTTGGTGAGCAACACAATGCCCTATAGACTAGACCAGTAGAGTTAATTTATGCAAAATAAATTAAGATTTTATTTTTAATATATGCATTTGCATTGCCTCCAAAGAACAGAAAATAAATGCACTAGTAGTTAATAGTAACAGTAGTTGAAAGGCAGCTAGATAGCTAGAACAGAATTCTTTAAATGTGTAAACTAATGAGTTTTAAAAATATTTAAAAGAAAGTGGATACACATTTTCTAATGTACCTTATGGAGATCTATATGTGAACAATCACCCAATTCTGTTCAATTTTCTCAACTCATTTGAAACTCAAAAGACCCATTCAAACATCATGTTTTGTCCTCAAAGATAAACTGTAACAGAATAAATGACATCATTTATTTCATTGCATTCTACTCCAGTTCATCCTTAAACAGGATGCAATTTCATAATGCAAAAGCTTAAAATATTAATAAAAATTAAAAATGCTAGAGCAATTTACCCGCTTATTGTGGGAAATTTTTCTTTTTATATTACCTCTGGTTGCAGCCTGAGCAAGGAGGCAGGAAAAAGAAAGCAAGGAGAGAAAAGAAAAGGATTGGAGGAGAAGGAAGACAGGAGGAAACACAGGCACCAAGGACATAAAAGGAAAGATCAGAAAGAAAATGTACCTGGACGTATGAAGAAACTTTCAGACTAGAAAAGCTTGTCCTAGGAGGGAGTCATTGGAAAAAAGGAATTTTGCAACAACTAGTGTTTTAAAGTAGAAAATTCAGGTTCTGGGGGTTTTTAAAAACTAAATTTAATAAAATAATATTTATATTTAAAGATTATTTGTTTATAAATATTCTTAATTTTTGTCCTTGAAATAGCTCAAATATCTATAAGAAATACAAATTTATAGTGACAGAAAAAAGTTCTTTTTAAATCTAAATCTGATACTATAGAATAAGAGGAGTTAAGGCAGATGAGCTCCTAAAGTAGCCTAAGTGTCAGATTACAAGTACAGTTCTATTTTCTATTTATGGACTCTAAGACACCAAATGTTCTTTTTACTCCTCTTTAATGTCACTATTGATGACCACCAGAGAGGATCAAATCACTGCAGCAGATTTCCCTATATTTAGAGGGATACTGTTGCCAAAACAAAGCTGTGAATTATTTATCATACACAATATAATGTTCTTTCAAAACAATCTTAAACCTTAAATTGATTGTCAAATGAAAAAGAATGAGAGTTGATAGGGATAATCATAAAAATGAAGCATCATCTTACTGGAGTTCCTGCGTTCACTTGTTTCTGAAGTTTGTTTCTCATTTCTTTTTCATTAAATTTGGCACTTCTTTTTACATAGATTCCTCCATGCTGCCACATTAAAAATAAACAAAAATAAAGGGGGAAAAAACATTAAATACTCAATGACTGCAATCTTAAAAAAAAAAGGCAATTTTACTGAGAAAGAGTAAAGATTAAAACTACATTTTCAATTTAAACAATATTTAGTACATTAAAATATTATATAAGGAAAACTACTGTTTCAACATTTAAATAAAATAGCATTGCTACATTGTACTGAAAAATACACGTGCTTTCATATTCTGTGTAGTAATAATATTTAGTTTTACGGCTAAAAAACTTCTTTGAAAAATCCTTTTTTAAAAATAAAAAGTTTAAACAATTGGATAGCTTTTAACTCACAGTATTGCACGGGCATTACAGAATCACTTCCATGTGTCCCTTAAAAATATCAATATAATCTGTAGGTGGGAAAAGGATGGGCACTCTTCTTCTGAGCAATTAACTGCCTCTGAAAACCCTCCGGAAGGTCAGATATGGGTCGGTTCCGACTCTACAATACTCAACAACAGCATACCCTATAGGGATTTAAAATTTTAATCCAGCTATAAACATTTATGTGGTACTTTTTTACTGTAAAATGAGGGAAAGATGAAATTGGTGGCACACAGGGCATTCTACACTACTATGTTCTGGTATGACCCATTTTCAAAATGTATAGACAGGTACAAGACAAAAGGCGACTCTTAATACAAACTAAGGACTAAAGACTTCAGATAATAGTAATATTGTATCAATACAGATTCATCAGTGGTAACAAATGTACTAAATTAACACAAGATACTAATAACAGAATAAACTATGCACATGCCTAAGAAGGTGCATATGGGATTTCTGTACTTGCTTAGAAAATTTTCAGTAAATGTAAAATCGATCTAAAAAATAAAGCACAAAGAACATATTTTATTTAGTCTCTATTCTCCTAGAGGGAGCTCTGGTAGCTTAGTGGTAAGGGGTCATGCTGGCAATTCAAAGGTTCAAATTCACCAGCTGCTCTGAGGTAGAAAGATGAACAAACTTTTTCTGTACATTTTAGTCTCTGAAAACCCTCTAAAGGTCAGCTATGACCTTCCAACTAAAGGCACATAACAACATCTATGATCCTAGAGCAGCAGAGGAAACAGGAGAATTAAAGAAAGCGCTGTACTAGTGTCTACTTGCCTCCATGAAGACTAAGGAATATGATAGTGCCTAGCTACCTGAACATTCTGATGAAAGAACAATTTGATGCTACAAAAGCAGCCTGGTCAAGAGATTAAAATACAGAACAGAAGCTCTGATTCTCATGGAATTCAGACTTTCTGGAGCCACTGAGACTAAAAGACTCCCCCTGAAACTACTAGCTCGAGATGATTATCAAACCTAAAGCTGAAAATATCCCTTAAAGTCATCTTTAAATTAAACAACAGCTTAGCATAAGTAGAGAATATCTGCCTTGAGAACAGCCCTTTTATGGAATTATCTATATGAGGTCAAGCTTACAAAAGCAACTCAATAAGGATGAATGAACAGCTTTGACTAAGGCAGGGAGACGGTCTTCATAGTGGTAAAATAATTTAGAAAAGCATAAAATGGTTGCACAATTTTTAAGAATGTAATCAATGTAATTGAATTATACATATAGGAACTATTAAAATCATGCATGTTTTTGCTGTATTTTCACCAAAAATGAGATTTCTATTCAAAAAGTATTCTAATTAAAAATCTGAGTTAATGTCAAACTTCTTATGTACATTTGATTAAAATGATGCATGAAATCAGCATATTATTTGTATCACTCTGTGTGCTAATTCACAGGACCTGTGGTGGTGTAGTTTGTTTGAATGTTGGACTGGTTACTAAAACGTCAGCAGTTCAAGTGCACAAACTATATGCCACAGGAGAAAGACTTACACACTCAGACACCTGACAGGATTATGTATCAGAATCAATTCAATGGCAATGGAGTTATCAATTAGAGTTCATCTGTAAAATAAATTGATGAGCTCAGTTTGATTTTGCCTTATGAATACGGTATACTGTAAAAGAAAATGGACAAAGAAGTGAAGATGATTATGAAGAAAAACTTAGACACAAGGGATTAATTAACAAATGGAAAGCATGGAATTGGTAACAGAAATGACAATGGCGATCAAACGAAACAATTTGCCAAGACTGATAATCTACCTTGGGGAAATACATTATTCAACAACAAAAATGGTGACCACACACATAGATCTCACGAGATGGAATATATACAGGGTTCAAATCAGCCATGTATGTGAAAAGAGATGAGAGAAACGTACTAACATCAGTTAGTAATCCAAAAATTTGTAATCCATAGGCTAAATGTATAACAGACGATCAAGGAAAATTAAAACAAGTCCATGAGAGTTAAAGTGCTACCTTGATCATTTTTTCCTGAATTTAGTGATCACCTCAAGAATAGATTTGAGGCAATGAACTCTAAGGACCAAAGATGAGATAAGCACATTACATATGAAGAAAGCAAAAAGAGATAAATGTTTTTATTAATACACAGTCTAAAATTTTACAAAATGATACTGCAAGTAAGGCATGTGAAAGCCATCTTATTATGTGAAGCTACTTATTAACAAATGTCTCATAGTTTGTTTTCTTGGTACAAAACCCTTAGGTGCACAGTTTTGAAGATTACTTCAGACTTGTGGCCTATAACAGTAACAACCACCATCTGATACCAGATTTCTGGGTTTTATGGAAATTGGGGTAGCATACACAGGCCACACCTCTGGATATCATGTTCGACCTTGAGGCTTAGAAAAACTATTGTGTAATAGTCCAGAACAACCAGGAAGACCTTTTTGCTTTTGGTGATGTGTTCTTTTAAACTATTCAGTCTGTTATGGGCAACAGACTCTAAACATCAAACTGAGACCTGGATTTAGAGTAAATCAGTACTTATTTAAATTGGTCTTTAAGACAGTGTTGTGAAAAATACCTAATGCTTCTAATCAAATTGTCTCAGAGACACACAACCCTTGCTATGTAGAAGTGACAAATGAGTGCTGTAAGATGAACAAAGAAGAGGAGGAAGTTTTCTCCTGGGAAAAATACTGAGTACAATGTGGAGTTTGTGCCTGTTAATACTTTCTGTTGAACTTAGATTAACAACTATATAGCACAGTAGAACAGACACTAATGAAATCTGTCAAATGACTGCATGACCTACATACTTCCCAAAAGTGAGATCTCCTTTCCTTGATTGTCTTAAATGGGTTACCCAAAGGAATAGATTCTTGGATTAGATCTGAATTGACTGAACGATTGTCATTACTGAAATTATACTGAAGGGTACTTCTAATGCGACTTCTTAAAAAGTTAATATGTTGTTCATAAAGCAGGTCAGAAATGCAGACAAGATATATTTATTCTACAGGTGGACTTGGGCTTCCAATTTAAGATTTGTAGCCCAACCATAGGTAAATAGTCCTTTTCCCTTGGCCCAAATCCACACTTAGTCCCTTGGGGACAACACTGAAGACTGGATACTACATTGGGGGGGGGGGGGGAAAGTAACCAGATGGTACTTAACTACTTAAAAAAAAAGAGTAGTGCCTGACTCTAAAAAGTGTGTCCTAAAACAGGCAGCCATCAATTAATTCTGTAGAAGCAAGCACACCAACCTATGTGTGACCAAAGGATTTTAAATAAATCCATGATCAAGAGAAAGGAATGTATAAGAATCTAATGTCTACAACGACTTAGTCGTGAAATGCTGGTCTACTACAGCTCTTAATCCATTCTGACTCTCAACTTAAATTCAAACTCCATGTGAACTCTTTATATGTCTTCTCTGATGCTTGTTGAGCATTTGATCAATAATGTTATGCCTAAAAGACCAATAAAAGTAAGTAATAATTTACTCTAAGTACAGCTCTCAGTCTGATCTTTGAAGTCTCTTCCCCATAAGACAAGTCCTGGGAGGAGTAGCTTGCCCTAAGAAGGATTGCAGTAGAAAGCAGATTAACATGCACAGAAGTATTTTCATGAAGAACCTGGGACCCTGTCTGGGCACGTCACAGTAATTTACCAAAGACAGCCAATTGAAAGTACTTTGGCTAGTCAGAATTTGTTTTAATGTTATTTCCTGATATTTTAACATTTAATCACTGCATGGCCTCTCATAAGGGGAATGCTGTTGTCTCATCTCATCCCCGAGCACTTCAATTTGCAAGTTGCTTTCTCTAATAAAAAACTTCTTTGTTTTTAATTTAAAAAAAAAATTAACTATAAAATGCCTAATTTGTTCTTAAGTTAGAATAATGCATAGACTAAAAGCTTCAAAATTATTTGATATCTTAGTTATCAGAAAAAGTTCTCATTTAACTCTTAAATGAAATCATGAGAGCTGTTAGGGATAATTATAAAAACAAAGCATAATCTTAGTAGATAGGAGAGGGTTCAGATCCAATCTTCAAATAGTTATTCTATAACATCAACAAAATCATTCCCAATTCTTTTCTTTAGGTTGAAAAGGTCAGAAGAAAAAGAAAGGATACTGTTCTTGTTGTTGTTATGTGCCGTCGAGTGGTTTCCGACTCATAGC